ATGGGTACTTACGAGTTGCGACGTTGAGTTGCTCCTTTTTTTTTTTGAGTGCTACGTTGAGTTGCTCCTGGGCTACAGAACAGGCTTATCTCTTTTTTCTCGCGGGCCTACTCTTGTGTTGAAATGGGCCTCTGGCCCAAGCTTGTAGGTTAGCCATGCCCAGATCCACCACAGCGCAGATATACCAGATCCATCGTCTGCCCTAACCTTGTTCCATCCCCACCCAACCTCCACACCCATCGACCGCCGGCGGCGGCGGCGGCGCCCGCAACTCTTCTCGCAATATTTGGGCCCAAACCTCTTCTGCCCTTAAATCTGGCGGCCGTAGATGAAGGAATCTCAAGTTCGTTCTGTGCTCGGATTGGAACAAGTAAGGAACAGGTGCCAGTCTCGTTGTGTAATCGGATTCGTCGTAGAAGAAAGAGACCGATTTCGGTTTGTATTAGAAAAAGGTGCTGTTTTTATATGTCCGCCCCTTGCGAGACAATAGTAAATCCGTCGATTTACGAATTGTATGCCAGCCTGAATCGGATCAGGACGAGGCTATAATAAGCGCTGGGCCGGAGCGTCGTTTCAAGAATATAATTATTTCTTTGCGTTTTGTTTGTCGCTGTAAGTTGTCTGTTTTGTTCCATTTGAGATCGGATCGCCATGAAGTTCAACAGAGGTCGCCGCCGCAGCCGTGATGTAAGTCGTTTTATTTTTATTTTTTTGCTTCATTTGTTCTTACTCCCTCTGTTCCAAATTACTCGTTGTTGTTTTAGTTCAAATTTGAACTAAAACCATGACGAGTAATTTGGAACGAGGGAGTACAAATTATCGATCTATCACCGATGATTAATCCGTCCCCTTAACACAGTCGAAAAAAGCAGCTTATTATGGGGAGGAAAGGCTAAGCGAGCTGCCAAGTGATGTTGTGGTCAAAGTCCTTGAGACGGTGAAAACACGGTTGAAGAAAGCAGCTGGTAATGGGGAGGACAGGCTAAGCGAGTTGCCCAATGACGTGCTGCTCAACATCCTCGAGAGGGTGGGTACGCTTGATGCCGTAAAAACCTGCATCCTGTCAAAGCAAATGCAGAAGCTGCCCGCTATGCTCTCACAGATCGTAATTGATCTCAGCTCTCAAGATTTGATTCAAATGGATGGTGTTGTGGCTGATGTGACGAACAAGATCCTTAGTATGAGGTCTCCAGAGATCACCATTCGCAAGCTGAAGCTCAAATTTTTCTTGGTTCCCTCTCGCTGTCTTTCCATCGGCAAATCTGTTGGCCTCGCCATGGTGACCCAGAAATTGGATGCAGCTGAGTTTGAGATCATGACACAAAAGGATTTCAGCCATTGCACTGATGCCCATCGCCTGCTCTATGCCGAGAAATTCAATGATTTTGTTCGTGGTTGTCCGGATGCATTTGCTGGTCTCACGCGGCTGCATCTACGGAATATGAGGTTTGGTAAATCAGATATATCCAACATCCTTAGCCATTGCAAGCGGTTGGAGTTCTTGTCTTTCTTCGAGGTTGACGAGGGGGTCCGTTCGGTGCTCCATGTAGAACACGCTCAACTAGTTGAGCTTGTTATCATCTTTGGGAGATTTGAAACAGTGGAGCTTGCCTGTCTACCAAAGCTCCAGCGGATGTCCTATAGGGATTGGCAGTATGATGACAATCCCTTGGTTCTTGGTTTTGTCCCTCAGCTTTCGAAGCTCAGTCTTGCTTGTCCATACTTATCAGGCAAGACACTCAACTTAAGCAAGCTGCTTGCTAATGCCCCCACTGTAAGCGATTTGTATCTGGAGTTTCGAAGTGAAAAGGTAACTCACTCTAATCATTTCTATCCCATTCTCATTAACTGTATGATGCACAATTTATGCACAACTTGCATGCATTATTACTTCTAATTTGTTTTATCTCTCACAGATTTGGATTCAACCAGAATGCCAAAAAGTGCTTGCTCCTGTGCTTGCCAAACTACGGTTTGTGAATCTGGATCATCTTCGCGAAGAATGTGATATCTCCTGGACACTCTTTCTTCTTGAAGCGGCACCATACCTAGAGGAGCTTTGCATCACAGTATGGGACCATAAGTGCCGAATCGAGTCACAAAAGAGCGTCTCCAAGAAAACGGATGTGAAGTGGGAACCATCTGATCCTCATTTTAAGCAGAAGAATCTGGCAAGGCTGACTATCTACGGCTTCCAGTCCGATGACAATTTCATCGGATACATTAGACGCGTCATTCAAGCTGCTGTGAACATCAGGGAGGTATCCCTGTACGCCAGGAAGGTGTGCCCATTGTGTTTCGAAAAGTTTCCTCAGGTGGCGCTTCGTCCTTCGGGTTATCCACGGACAAGCAAGGAGCTTGATTTGTTGAGCGAGAAGATGACAGCAGCTTCGGCTACGGCTTCTCCTGTTATTCACTTCCGCTCATTAGGTTGAGTTGAAGATGAACCTCTATCTCAAAGACGCCAGTAGTAGCTACTACGTCGGCGCTATTGCATATTCTGCAAAAATGTATCTCGGCTACCAATTTGTTGGAACGACTCATTTAGCTATTTTCGACAAATGAATTGGATAAAATAAGAACATCTATGTTGTGGTCGTGCAGTAACGTGCTTATGTTGAATACAGTCAATATTCCGTTCGAATGATGGTCTGTTATTTTTCCTATGTTGTACTCCCTCCGTTCCGAATTAGTTGTCTTGGATTTGTCTAGATACGGATGTATCTAGACTCATTTTAGTGCTAGATACCTCCGTATATAGACAAATCTAAGACAAGTAATTCAGAACGGAGGGAGTAGTATTTATGAGAGCCACGGCAATCTCTGTTTTTCATGGACACCGAAATACAAACTTTGCTGACAACAGCTTTGCTTGAAGAAGAAAATGCACGTAGAAAACAGCAGTGTTCCTGTCCCTGGTTGCCGCCGGCGCGGGGTACATGCCGAGGAGCTCGCAGCAAGAGTTGGGGCTGCTGCACAGTGGTCCGTCCCCAGCGGCCAGTTCCGGCGCGACGATGAGCTCCATTCGGGAGCAGCTCTGCAACTTTGCTGAAGATTTGCGACGATCGATCAGTTTATCAACGACCTCTGCACTTGGGTTTTGAACACATTATCAACGACCTCTGCACTTGGGTTTTGAACACATGATTTATATGACGTGATGTGGGGTTAGGGACATTGCACGTTGGCTATTTGTGCCCAAAAGAAGTTCTTGTGTTCTAGGATGATTACAGTTGGTTAATTGCATTTTTTGTCATATCCTCCGATGATTGCTATGGTTTTGTTGTTTGCATCAACAACAAAAAATGACTGACCTGATTTTGGATGAGCACATCAGTATGTTACTATTTATATTTTTCAAGAAGTAGATAGAATATTTTTCTCTTACTTGTTGGGAATGGTAAAAGCTAAGGGCCCCTTTGGAACGCATGATTCCAAAAACGTTGGAGTAGAAAATGTTAAGACTGAAAAATCATGGCATGTTCCTACAAGAATAAAGGACTTGGATGCTGCGCACGAAAAACACAGAATTATAGGACATTTCCTTTTATTCAAAGAATTTCCACAAGCAGTTGCATGATTAGATTATTTAGGATTTTGTTCCATGTAGATTTTTCATTGTTTGATGTGTAGGACTGAATCCTATAATAAGTTTTCTCAGTGTTTCTTTTCACGATGTTCATATAAAATTTTACATTAGCTCAAATCTCCAGACAAGAAATTTGCAGGACTCTTGACCTCTCTCCCATGGCAGCGGCAGCACCCGGAGGCGAAGGAGGGGGCACAACATCCCACCCCAATGGCTGGGGGAGGGGGCATGATACACCTCAAACTTATGTATAATTTTTGTTTGTTCCATGTCATATTATATTAAATTAACATACTTTCTACATTTTTTGCTTGTTCCCCGTTTAGATATCCAATTCAGTGCCCAGGCTCATCTGCTCCCGCTCAGAAAAAAATCAAAATAAATACTAGAAAAATTCAAAAAATTCCATTTTTTGTGATAGATATTTGCCATGTGAGGTCCGCTCCAAAAATTTCAACTTATTTGGACATTCGAGTAGCTCTCGGAAAAGAAAGACAAATCAGGTCAGAACAGTATGTGAACAGTAAACATTTTTACAGACCCGATTTTGTCTTTTTTGCCGAGAGCACCTCACGCATCAATTATCTACCACCCAAACAACATTTGGAATTTTTTGAATTTTTCTAGTATTTGTTTTGATTTTTTTCTGAGCTCGGGAGCAGAAACTCCACGTCTTACGCTCGTAACACCACGATGCCCGCTTGATCGATCTTGAGGATACACGCATACTGCATACGTATTGACACGCATACGGCATACATATTGACTGGGGATCCCCGTATACATATATATTTTCATAAGCCTCGAGCCTATTTTCATACTCCCTCCGTCCGGAAATATTTGTCATAGAAATGGATACAGATGGGTGTATCTATAACTAAAATACATCTAGATACATTCATTTCTGGGACAAGTATTTCCGGACGGAGGGAGTACTAGGTATGCCGTATATGTATGCCATATACGGGCAGTGAATAAGCGGCTATATATGTATGCCGTATACGGGGATCCCCAGTCAATATGTATGCCGTATATCGGGCAGTGAATAAGTGGTATTATGGCGATGGTGGGTATGCTAGGGCACGGCTGAAGCCTAGTATGAAAATAGGCTCGAGGCTTATGAAAATATTGGCTCGAGGCTTATGAAAATACGGCATACATATTGACGCGCATGAAAATATACGTATTGACCACGACGCCGGCTTGATCGATCTTGAGGCTAGCTATGTACTGATCAGCAACGCAAACCTTTTTCTATAATGGGCTTTTGGTTGGGGTGATTTTTTTTCTCAAATCTTGGAGTAGGCAGGATGCAGCGGCCGCTACAGTATCGAATAATCTCACCTCGTAAGAACCTAATAACCAGGCATGAGACCATGTACAGATGACACATCACAGACGAAAACCAAAAAAAAAGTAATGTAGGACCAACTAAGCGGGACGAAACAAAGAATATCACCTCCCTTTAGACGAAAACCAAAAAAAAACATAATGTAGGACCAACTAAGCGGGACGAAACCAGAATATCACCTCCCTTTAATAGTCGTACATTAGCACATCTACCCCACAAAAATCCATGGGTCGCCATCCATCACCCTCTTCCAACCGGCTAGGAACTGAAACTGCACCACAGCACCAGGAACATTTGCCGCCATCACTTTGAGTGTCACTTCATGTGCTGAAGTGCACTCTATCGGCATGGCATTGAAATATGCCGAGCGGGTGAAAGGTTTCGTCATATATATGTATCCTAAAGAGTCCCACTAGACATCTGACCTCCTATATCATCTCCTCAGCTCTTCGGAAATCCAGTTCGGCTACTTCTTCTCCATGCATATTTAGCCCCTCGAGCCTATTTTCATACTAGGCTTCAGCCGTGCCCTAGCATACCCACCATCGCCATAATAGCCGCTTATTCACTGCCCTCACCTCATTATCCGTTCTTCTCCTTTGACGGATTGATTGTAGCTCCATCTTTCCCTGTGCATTGACCATCTACGACATCGACAAACTCATGCTTCTCCCGATTTCCGCCATGACCAACCCCCTTGTGATCTTGCTTCATCATGATAAACCATCGGTTCCAAACAGACCCGCCGCGTGAAAACCTATAGGACTCTCCGTCACCAAGGAGAACCCTAGTAAATCGATATGATTTTGTGCACTCCCACGGGGATCCACCGGAGGGCAGTGTAAACCCTAGAAAGCCTTAGGGAAACCATTTAGGCATTCGCTCCATGTGAAAACAACTAGCTTTTGAGTGCAACAAGGCTTTATTCAACATTCAAAAGCATAGCGATACATGCAATCACAGGGGGAGTCCCAAGCCATAGATGGCGCCCTCTATCAAGGGAAGAATAAGCTTTTGCCAATGAATGTGCCTCAACATTTGCTTCACAATACTCATGCCGGAAGGAAACACTTTGGAACATTGTTTGCCGAAAATTGGCCTCTTTAAGAATAGCAGCATACACACATGTTGCTTTGCTGGTGATATTCCTTATTACCTCCAAGCAGTCGGATGCAATGCTTAATCTCGTAATGAGATCTTATCCTAGGACCAACACCTTATTGCATCCATGGGCCTCCAAGCTAGTTGGATCAACAAGATCATTGAAAACCGTTGTTGAAGCTCCAACAAACTTGCCACTAGCATCCTGACATACAACTGTTGTTGCCCCTTTGCCAGCGTGTCTAGACCGCCCAACATCAACATTCAACTTCATGTCGCCAATAGCAAGGGAAGTCGCGTTACCTTTGCTGCATGAGCTCTTGCTGAGACATAATTTGGAGACCTGTTACACACCAAGGCTATCTCCAAGTCTTCCTAGTATCTATTGATGAAACCCATAGTAGAAAAAGGACTTTGAAATTTGTCATTTGAATTGCCTGCTTTTGAGCCCACCAGATAGGACATAGAGTAATAAGCAATCACGCAAGCAGGAGCTCCTATTGGACGCTCTTTGTGTCCAACAGCGAGCAGACACACAGAGGACACGGCCACTGGGCCGACCCACTAACAAGAGACGAAGGAGAGCGCAAGCAAAAAAAAATAGCGAGGAGCCCGACAGGGATCGAACTCGCGACATGCGAGTTCTCAACGCGTACTACTAACCGCTGGAGCTAACTGCTGATAATGACATAGCAAGAGCGCGAGCATTTTTAGATCTCATCGAAACGGCTCATTTAAAACAATCTTTACAAAAATGATTGATCGTTTCGTGATTTTAAAAAATAAAAAAATGTCAAATATTGTTTTGAAAACAAAAATAAAAATTGGAATTCTAAATTTTTTTACTCCATTTTTAAAAAGAACATGCACAAATTTTCAAATCCTGAACACTTTTCTAGTATGTGAACAATTTTTTAAAACAGACACAATTTTTCAAAATTTCAAACCAAATGTGAAAACACAAACAATTTTTGGGAAATGACATTTTTTTAAAACATGAACAATCTTTGAAAAATTGTAAACTATTTTGAAATTCATTTTTTAAAATGAGAACAAAAATTAACATCTCAAACAATTTTGGAAAACACGAACAAATTTTCAAAATGCAAACAAAATTTTAAACTCCAAACATTTTTGAAATTGTGCACAATTTTAGAAAATGTGAATAATAATTTGAAAATTAGAACATTGTTTGAAAAACCTAAACAAATTTTGATATTACAAGAATATTTTGACAAATTGAACAATTTTTGAAAACATGAATAATGTTTTGAAACTCAGAACATTTTTGGAAAATCTGAACAATTTTGGAAATTCCGAACGTTTTCTGAAAATAAGAACAATGTTTGAAAACTTGAACAAAATTTGCAACTCATAACCATGTTTGAAAACTT